GAACGAACGAACGAACGAACGAACGAACGAAAGACCGATCGAACGAACGAACGAAGAACGAACGAAGAACGAACGAACGAAGAACGAACGAACAAATGAAGTGAGCGAAGAGGAGGGAAGGAAGGAAGGAAAGAAGGAAGGAAGCATACGAGTTAAAAATAATTAAAAAAAAGGAAGGAAAAATGAAAGAAAGGATAAATGGAATAACCATGTAGCAAAAATGTTTAAGCTCCTAAAGCTGACTTTAAAAAGTTAAGTACATATTTGTAGAACTAATACCTCGATGTCCTGTCCCAAGTCAACAAAAACACATCTTACTAACCTGTGTTGCCTTCTGTTTTTTGGTGATATTTCCTCAGCTTCCCAGGTGCACAGCAGCTGAAATCCTCCTTTTCCCTTACAAATACAGCCATGTTCAATCTCCAAGCACAGTTCTTCCCATAGACATTCAAGATGAAGTTCCTTGTTTTGTGTGTTCTTCTTGGTGTGGCGTTCGGTAGCAATCCTGAAGGTGAGAAAAAAGCGTTAAATTTTCTATCTTCTTTCAAAATTTTGCCAACTGCTCCGCGTTCGTTTGTTTGCGTTTCGTTTCTTCTTACGTGTTAATTCAAGCAAGCATATTTGCTTTTACATTTTTTGATGTAGGACATAGGAGCCTGTTGGAAAGAGTTTTTGAACCATTGTGTTAGGTGTTCGGTATCATCCCCGGGGTATCATCAGTATTAGCGACATATCCCTTCAAGACACTCTGAAGAAACGAGAGGAATTCTCACTCTACCCTTAAGATATAGTTTCCTTCTATCTTTTGAAACCCTTCATTTTATCAAACAAACTCTACTCACGCGTATGATGCCGAGTGTAAGAATCAAATCTGAGACCCTAGAGGCAACTGAGAAGCGTGTGTACTATAACAAGCTTAATGTGCAATGGCAGAGGGAGAGATCTTTGTCAGCAGCATACCATGAATCGATGAAATAAAGATATTTATTATTCTTTTTTAATGAAGTATTCTTTCATTAATTTAGATTTTTCTTTTGCAAAATTTTTTATTGTTTTTGTGTATGTACATAAAAGAAAACGCCGGAGTTGACGACCCAAACCTGTACGAGGGAGACATGATCCTGACTGACGCTCAGCGAATGGCAGCTGAAATGGGAATGGACGTGGATAAACCAATCGGTAGAGGAAGCATCAAGAATGGCCGTTGGCCAGGAGGAGTGATGGCTTACACTATTGACGGCAGCTTACGTGAGTAGCTCGACGCCTGTCTTTCATCGATCTTGTCTCTTCCCGCTCTCCACTCTATTGATCAAGATTCTATTTGTATGTTCCATTGATATAAATGCCTTTTCTTTGATATTTAGGACGCAACTCCCGAGCAATGAATGCCATCAGAGCCGGAATGAAAATGTGGACTGACAATACTTGTATCAGATTCAAAGAGAGGGCAAACGAGYATGCGTATGCGCACTTCCAGATTGGAAGAGGGTAAGTAGTGCCATACATTTCTATGAAAACACTCATTTTTCTGGTATTTCGGGAAAGGTACTAGGAAGCATCTTTCGTGGGGGAAGGGAGGGAGGAGGAAGATTTGTTGAGGCTAGTATTATGGTGTATCATTTAGGATTGCCAGCCACAATGGACAGCCCAGAGGAACACATCCAATTTCAACCGTATCGTGTTCTCCATTTTAACAATTTAAAATCTTAAATTTAAAAATTTTTTAATTTCTTAAAATTTTCAAATTAAAAAAAAGTGTTGGTTTCTAGGTGCTCTTCCATGGTGGGACGAACAGGACGTCTTCAAAGAATCAATCTTGCCAGTGGATGCTGGTACCCAGGAATCGTTGCGCACGAAATAGGTGAGTGTAACGCAATCTGTTATTTAAAAAGTCTTTGGCAGACACTGAAACCAAGACTGACCCTTTTCAGTTAAAGCCTAAGGTGAAACATAAGCCGGATACCGCGGGCATTTAACAAGTGTAACGCAATCTTCGGATTTATCATTTTCCTATTTGAACAATTTCTAGGTCACGCACTCGGTTTTTACCACGAGCAGTCACGCCCTGATCGAGACGATTACGTTACCATCAACTGGAATAACATTAACCCAAGTAAGTTATGCATAGTGAAATAAGGTTTCTTTTCTCTAACAAATATATTATCCACCTGTTGCACAAATCTTATTTTCTTCTTCAAAGGCATGAAGTTCAACTTTAACAAGTACCCAAGGTCCACCATTGATTCTCTGGGAACTCCATACGATTACTACAGCGTCATGCACTATGATGCTTATGCATTCAGCAGAAACAGGAGACCAACCATCGTAGCTAAAAAATCTGGGGTAAGAGTGAAGGGTGTCACGTGACTAAGCTTACGTGCATGTGTCTTCCCGCCTTCGGAACACTTATCTAAGAAGACGGCGCATTATCTAGTGTGCCGGTGACACGTGACGGCTGTGCGCAAATATTTTTTCCCTCTTCTTTAACGTTCCTCAATGAAACACTGTGGTTCTCCAAACCACAGCGATCTTTTAACCAATTGCAGATATTTTTATAGAATGCTGTATCTTCTCTTCAGATTTAAGATCCTGAGTGTTGGTTTGTCGGTTTCAACTAACCAGCTGAACGAGCTCCATGTTTATTGTTATTTATAGGTTAAACTTGGCAACCGCAGTAACTTGAGTAAGATCGACATCCAACAGATGAACATGATGTACAAGTGCAGTGGTGGTGGTGGTGGTGGTGGTGGTGAAGGTGGAGGGGTTAACCCACCACCCCCACCCCCTCCCCCTCCAGGTGGTGAGTATATCGGTATCATTATATATTGTATCAGGTCACTTGCTAAATAGCGTCATTTACCACAACCAGACTCGCTTGCACACTTCTTTTTGTTCAGTTGACTAGCAGCAATTGTTCAGACAAAGTTTTGAAAAAAATTCATTTGCACTCATTCTCTGATTGCAAATACATTGCCCATTCTGGATTTTGGGCATGGTATTGATGGTTTTCACGGCGGCCATGTTAGAGGAACTTAACAAAAGAATTGTCAATGAAGTCTTTTGTTATATCCTCCAGTATGGCCGCCGTGTCTTTTGTTATTCAATTCTCTTGGGAATGGTTGAAAACCATCAATACAACATGCAACAAAACTCTTCACCAACATTTTTTGAAAAAGCTTAATATCGTGAGCACTGTCGTGACGGCGCGTGACACATCAATGTAAGAAAATTTAAAAGTTCGACATTTTTTCTCTTTTACAAAAAAGTTCGCAAACCACGTATATGATGATTTTTTTAGACTGCAAGGACACTGGTCGTTACTGCTCATACCACGTCCCAAGAGGAGACTGCAAGAGAATGCAGATTGTCAAACAAAGGTGCAAAAAAAGCTGCAATCTGTGTTAGGTGGGTCACGTTTTGATTATGAGGAAAGTAACAGAAATATTCATCATTCCCTATTACGTAATGTTTTTCTATTTCAGACCGCGTGTCATTCTCTTGAGAATAAGATTCTTTGTATGAGTTGTTTCCATATTCATGAGTCTTCTCATGCGCAACCGTTAAACAAAGAAATGATACTCTAGGGAATGACACGTGGTCTGAAATGGGAAAACACTATATGATATAGGTAACGATGTCTGTAGTGTTAACGCTCAGATCAAACTTCGAACTTCACATAAGCCGAACCTAATTGAAACGATGGATAACAAGGCGGTCTTCTCTGATGTCAATAGGTTCGGCTCATGTGAAGTTATATTTTATATTAGTTATATTAAGACCATATGCATGTCTCAAAATCCATTACCTCCATTTATTCGGTATTTACTGTTATATTTAATACATCACCCATTGATGGGCCTCTTGAAGCTGGAACGTTTCAATATAAGTATTATTCCTTGAGCACTATTACATTCTCTACTATTGTATCGGAAAATGAACAATATTAACATTAACACATTTGGAATCGACAAACAAACAATATGATTACTATATTAATTTTTCACAATATTTTCTTTTCTACCCACAGATGTTACGAATTTGATTCGCTGGCTCATCAAAATCATGAATAAAATAATTTAATTTAATTAGTGCCTTAATGGTATTGTTCTACCTATATTGTATCAAATCAAACTAATTCTGCTAATGATTTGAAGATACTTGGGCAAGTGTAGTGTTGTCCCAGCACAGAGCACAGACACCTCTCTCATACGGACGCTTTCTTTGGT